CCGGTCGGGGTCTCAGGCACCCACCGAGGGCTCGGAGCCTGAGGCACCACCGGGCAGGACCCTCCAGCCCGGGCAGCGGGGGAATGGCGCCGGGAATGGCAGGGGAGAGCAAGGGCAGGCCGGCCTGCCGGGCCCTGCTGGCTGCCGAGGCGAGGGGCCGTGTAGGGCGCGGGAGGGGAGCTCTGCGTGCCCACCACCCACCACCCGGGCCCTGCACCCACCTCGCTCTCGCTGCCAGCCGCGAGCTCGGCCCAGACGGGGTACATGTTTCGGACACCTTCCTTGCCCCAATCCCCACCCCGTGCCTCACGTGGTCCCTGCACAGCACTGGTGGGCACCATGGAAATACCCACTGGTCTGCTCTTTCTCAAGGCAACCTGCAAAGACGCTGTGGTACGACCGCCCGCGGTATGTCTACCTGGAGTTCTGTGTCGAGGACAGCACGGATGTTAAGGTTGTCATTGAGGACCAGCGGCTGGTGTTCAGGTGAGCTGCCGCTGCCCTGCCGACTGGGGTCACAGCCCTGAACTGGGCGTGGTGTGGGGGATAGCGGGGACCCTGTAAGAGGAGGGCACGCATGGCCTCAGCCCTCTCCTAAGCCAGGCTGTTATGGTGTTTTGGCAGTTGCAAAAATGCAGACGGCGTGGAGTTCTACAACGAGATCAACCTGTATGCCAGGGTCAACTCCAAGGTGAGGCTTCCCCCCAGCAAACTGTTGTCTGACAGCCTGCATCACGCTCAGAGTTAAACCCAGCCTGTGCAGTCTTGAGCAATGCCGCTTAGTGTTGAATCCTGCCTGTTTCCCAAGAGCCTGAGCGGGGTGAGCACAAGCCTAGGAGCCCTGACCCTGGGCCTGGCACTCGCAGTACTGTGTTGGGCCAGAAACAACTCGTCTCCGTGGTTCTGTGTGTCCCACAGCCTGCACGTGGCTGAGCTTTAATCCGGTGCGTGTCTGCAGTGGATTACAGAGAGGAGTCCAGCAGACACTGAGGTGAGGCACCCCCAATCTCTTGGCAGGACTCACGGGAGAAGCGCTCCGACCGATCCATCACATGCTTTATGAGGAAGTGGAATGAGAAAGTGGCCTGGCCCCGCATCACCAAGGAGAACATCAAGGTGTGTGTGGCGCCCGGCAGCCAGGACCAGCCTCAGCGCGTGTGCTGTCCCCACGCAGCACCTTGCGGCTCCTGGGGACCAACCTGCCCCCGGGACAGACACTGAGGGCCCCACGTGGGCACTCCAACAGAGCTCCCAAAAAGCCCGACCTCGCGGTCACCACCAGTCCACGGACCTCTGCCCTCCAGGAAGGATGCGGCACCCCTTTCCCTCAACACAGGCAGGGTCAGGACCAGCACCCACAGGCGAAGGGACACACTCCCCTTCCTGCGCTTCCCCAGCCTGCCCAGCCCCCTCGCCTGTGCAGGAGCAGCCGGCGCTCGCCCCACAGAGCAATCCCTGGGCTGCGAGGATGGGGCTGCTGGGTCCCCTCCGTGCTGCTCCCTCCCTCAGGGGATGCTCTCTCTGCCCACAGCCAGCCTGGCTCTCCGTGGACTTTGACAACTGGCGAGACTGGGAAGGGGACGAGGAGGTAGAGAGGGCCATGGTGGAGCAGTACGCAGAGGTGAGCCAGGCCGCAGGCCTCTGGGTCCCGGGGCACGCGAGGGCTGGGTGCTCGGAATGGGGGAGCACCGTGCATTCGGCGTTCCCACAGCCATTTGTTTCCCGTCCAGCTCCTGGAGAAGGTGAGGGACAAAGCCCCCCCTCCGGCCATGGACGACCTGGATGTAAGTACTGCCCACGAGCTGCTTCCCCCAGACGCTGCTACATGCTGCAGCCACCCCCGCAGAGCAGAGCTGAGTCTCTGGCCCTCCGCTCGCTCCAGGCTGCTGGCAGCAGCTCCAGCTGCTCTCCTTGGGCAGCCCGTCCCGGAGCCAGCCGGGGAGATGCTTCTCCAGGGCTGCCTGGGGCTGCCCGGCCGGTGC